CTCTCAGCCCAATAGTTAACAAGATGTACATGCAGACCACTCAACCCAGGATGACGCACCCACATATTCTATGGTAATACATCCCCCTTAGAGCAATAGACCATGGGACACCAGAGGACCAACATTCAAACTGAGGAAATGCAGGACACACAGGAGAGCATAAATATGAAGGGCACAGGGGGAGGGTTACAGGGTAGGGAGGAGAGGAGACTGGGTTAGGGTTGGACATGATGAATGGAGAATGAAACTAAATGTACATGTTACGTTGACTGTAAAACAAGCTCTTAAAATTAAAAAAAAAAAAAAAGCATTGTGGAGCTGGCACAGGACTGGGCAGTATTTCATTCTGCTATACATAGGGTCACTATAAGTTGGAAATGACTTGACGGCACCTAACAGCAAAGATGCATCCATTCTTCGGTCATTTTGCATGCAATTGTTAACCTAAGTCTGGATGATTGCTATGGCCACCCTGGAAGAGTCTTGTCTGCTATGACCCAATAAAGTGAAATTTACAGGAAAAATAAAATAAAGAGTATCTTTAACTATAAATCCCTACATGATTTATTATATAAATGAATATACATGCATGCACATACACACACTTGTATGTACATATGCCTATAGATACACCTATCTGTGCACACATATGTACCCCCATATTCATAACCATATACACATATATATCTATATACATATTTGTGTAACAGCACATAAAACATTTTGGTGATTTTAGGTGTTACTGAAAAATTGAATTTGTCATATCCTTTACCAAAAACATCACTTTCACATGAGCACTTCTTAATGCTATCATCTACCTTGGTCAAGCTTCACCCACATTCAATGCTACCTTTCCCTTCACCAAAAGAAAGAAATGTCTGTTATCTCAAGAATGATCTCCCTTCTACATCCATCCCTGGTAACCACCAATGATCACTTGTCTCACTATAAGTATCTACTTTGTCTAGTTATAAAAGTGCAATCGTACAAAATTTGTCCTATTGGGATTGCTTTATTTCACTCAGCAAAATTTCCTCAATATTCATCCATGATATAAGATGTTTGGAGGACTCATCACTATTCTTTATAGCTGTGTAGTATTCCATGGTATGTATGTACCACATTTTTTTAATCCATTCATCTATTGTTGGCCAGTTGTTTCCATCTTTTTGCTATTATAAATAATACTGTAATAAACATAGGTGTGCATATGTCTATGTCTCTTATTAGCTCTCTAGAGCATATACCTAGAAGTAGGATTGCTACTTAAAGGTATTTCTATTTCTAGCTTTTCAAGGAGGTACCATATCATTTTGCATAGTGGTTGTGTCATTTCTACAGTCTACCAGCAGTGTCTAATGGTTCCAAATCCCCCACATCCTCAGCAGCACTTGTTGTTTTCTTTCTTCATCAGTAATATTTTTGCAGGGGTGAGAGAATGTCTTATTGTAGTTTTTATTTCCATCTCTTCAATGGCTAATAATCATAAATTTCATTTGTTTGTTGGCCATTTCTAATAGACTACTAAAACTGTCCTTTGTTTTTAATATAAATTTGTATGTCTAAAATTCTGTCACATTATTTAAATAATTTTCTTAATCATTCTATTGCTTCATGTTTGTGTATTTTTTAAAAATATAACAATAGTTATTTTTCAGTCTATGAATACCAATATTCATAATCCCAGTGGATTTGTTTTGCTGTTTCTTTACCAGAAGGAGCTCTGGTGGCATAGTGCCTAAGGCATTTGATTGCTAACTAGAGGGTTGGAGGTTCAAACCCACCAGCCACTTCACAGAAGGAAGACAGGGCAATCTACTTTGTAAAGATTTACCACCTCAGAAACTCAATGTGGGTCTCTATGAGTCGGAATCAACTCAATGGCAGTGGGATTGTTTTTTTGTTTTGTTTTGGTTTTTTTTTGCTTGTTTCCTTGTTGTTGTTTGTATACCTTTAGGTTCTCAATTATGGTGACATATTTCCATACTCTTTTAGCTAGTTTTACTTGTGAGCTCCTAATTTTCTTATTTGTGGTGCTCTTTGATACTATAGATGAAAGTATGATTCACCAGAACCCAAAGAAGAGTTAAGTCAGGCTTCTGGGATGGCCAGCTGTCTTAGTCTGGGTTCTCTACAGGAACAAAACCAATGAAGCATATATAGGCAATCCTTGGTTCGAATGAGATCTGTTCCTGAGTATGTTTTTGAGAATTTGTAGCTAAGTGCAAACAGGTACGTACAGTTCTTACGTTAATGCAAGAAAGGAGCTCTGGTGGTGTAGTGATTAAAGCTTTGGCTAACAAGAAGTTCAGTGGTTTGAATACACCCACCACTGCACGGGAGAAAGATTAGGTCATCTGCTTCTGTAAGGATTCATAGCCTTGGAATTCCTATAGAGCTGTACTACTCTGTCCTAAAGGTTCGTTACGAGTTGGAATCAACTTAATGGCAGTGTGTTTTGACTTTAGTGCAAGAATAGTCTCAAAGCCCATTCAATGAATTAAATGTTGGACAGGCAGCGAGTTATGGTGATTGTGATGAAGAATTTGTTGCAAGCAGGGGTTGGTTCAAGTAACCCTGGTGGTGCAGTGATTAAAACATTCAGCTGCTAGCCAAAAGGTAGGCAGTTTGAACCCACAGCTGCTCCACAAGAGTTTCCATAAAGATTAACAGCCTTGGAAACCCTATGCGGCAGTTCTACTCTGTCTTACAGGGTCTCAATGAATCAGAATTGATTCAATAGTGGTAGATTTGGTTTTAGGTTTGGTTTAATCATTTAAAAGTGAGGAACAATTTACATAACATTACAGGGCAAATACAAGTTGTCCATAAGTCTGATGAATGTAATCCAGGGATCACCTATATATAAATATATCCAAAACCACCAAACTCACGGCCATCAAGTTGGATCCGACTCATAGCAACCCCTCCTTGGGTTTCTGAGGTGGTATCACTACAGAAGTAGGATTGCCCAACCTTCCTTCTGAGGAGTGGCTGGTGGATATGAACCACCAGCCTTCTGCTTAGCAGTCAAATGCCTTAGGCACTAGGCCACCAGAGCTCCTAATATATAGAGAGAGATATATTTCAATGAAATGGATCACACAATTATGGAGGCTGGTAAGTCTGAAATCCATGGGTCAGTTACAGGCTAAAGGTTTCTCCTGACTCATATTGTAACCAGGGCTGTCAAACCCAAAATCTGCAAGTTGGGCAATAGTCTGGTGGCTTACGGGGTTGCAGAAGCTGGTGAATCCAAGATCTGCAGGTCAGGCAGCAGGCTCTGGCTCACACTCCAACCACCAGAGGTTAGAGGACGACCAGGAAAATGCAGGCTCGAATGACGGATCCAGACAGAATGAGCTTTGCCAGAACATCCATATATATTGGCTGCAGGCCACACCCCTATGAAACTCCCCTTTCAACTGATTGGCTGCTCACATCAGATCACAAAATAGAAGGTGATTACATAATATCTGCTAAACCACTAATAATCATAGCCTTAACCATCACACCACTAGTCCCAGATGACTAACTTCAAAACTTAAGAATCTTTGATTACTCAGACAGTATACATACAGGGTGAAAACCTGCACAGGAAATGACTACTTGCAAATTCAAGTATCAGCAGTGATTTCCACCACATCTCACCTCAATGCTAATAATTGAAACAGTAAATTTGCCTTCCAGTCCCCTGGCATAACTCATGCTTACATTATAGAATATATATTTCAGGATCTGAACTTTAAAGTGCAATTGTTTATTATATGTTCTTTTGTGACTGACTTATTTCAATCCTATTAAATTTCCAACTTCAAGAATATTCCAGCCTTTGTCTCTTCCTTGAATCTTACCTATCAATCTGTTAAAACAAAATAACACCAATTTACCCAATCATAGGCATTGGCAAATTGTTCAAGGGTACAGGAACCATAAGTCTTGACTTGCCTGGGAATATCCCAGTGTACACTCATCCCAGGACAATCATTGTCTATTCTGGTTTTGTTGTTGTTGTTGTTATTTGCCGTCGAGTCAGCCCCGATTCATAGCGACCCCTCCTTGGGTTTCCGAGGCAGTATCACTACGGAAGTAGGATTGCCCAACCTTCCTTCCGAGGAGTGGCTAGTGGGTTTGAACCGCCAGCCTTCTGGTTAGCAGTCAAGTGCCTTAGGCACTATTCTGGTTTAGAGCTCCCTTTTCAGTCTCAGAAATATAAGTAATTTTCTGGATCATGATAAAGTAGTGATTAATATGCAACAAAGGACATTTTTCTAATACTGAGTCCTACTCTATAATTCAATTTATTCAATCTAATCAATTCTTTTTCATATATTCTCTAGTAACATTTCATGCTTAGTAGTAACTTCATGCTTGGTAAACTGGAGGGTCATCACAAAAGGAGAAAGCCTCAACGAGATCGACTGACACAGTGGCTGCAACAATGGGCTCAGGTATACCAAGGATTGTGAGGCTGGCACAGGACCGGGCAGTGTTTCATTCTGTTGTACATTGAGTCACTATGAGTCAGAGCCTACTCAATGGCACCTAACAACAATAACATTTTAGAATCTTCTTCAGAAACAGCTAATATTTTCCCATTAAATTCACTCCTGTTGTTGTTGTTGTTATGTGCCGGCGAGTTGGCCCCGACTCATAGTGACCTCTCCTTGGGTTTCCGAGGTAGTATCACTACAGAAGTAGGATTGCCCAACCTTCCTTCCGAGGAGTGGTGGTGGGTTTGAACCGCCAGCCTTCTGGTTAGCAGTCAAGTGCCTTAGGCACTATGCTACCAGTCACTCCTAGACAATATTATTAATTGTTGCTAATATAAATGGGATCTTCTATTTTACTTTCTAACCGGACAAGCTACTGCTTAATTGTTCATTGATTTTTGTACCCAGCCATATTTTTGTTTATACAGATGATGTGCTTGGATTTTCCAAGATTGGAAATTATATAATATAAAAATAACTTCAAATTATATTTCTTTCTCTTGACAGGTTTTTGAATTCCAGTTGACTTCAGAGGACATGAAAGTCCTTGATGGCCTAAACCAAAATGCTCGCTATAATCCTGTTATATTGTAAGTTTCTTTTGATAAAGATATTTACTTCAATTTATTTTCACATGAGAAAAGTAAGATTATTGTTAAAAGGTACATTAACACCAGAATGACTGTGGCCAGTTTTAGAAAGAGATAAGAGCTTACCCAAAACTCTCAGACTGGATTCACATCAAAGTTTTCTTCACTGAACAAACAAAAGGGTGAGAGGGTCCCAGGGTCACTTAGGACGTTCACACATACTCTTTTCTCCTCACTCCATATAACTTTCCAGAGAAAATCAACATCATTGGTGAATCTACATCTTCATGTAAGGACCTCTGTGGGTACAGTGGTTAAGCATTTGGTTGCTAACCAAAAGGCTGATGCTTCAAACCCACCAGCCACTCTGTGGGAGAAAGATGAGGCAGTCTGTTTCAATAAAGATTTACAGCTTTGGAAACCTTATGAAGCACTTCTCTATGACTTAGAATCAACTCAGTGACAGAGCTTTTTTATTTATTTATTTATTTATTTTGTATTGGTATATAAGCCTCTCATCTCTACAACAAACTAATGGACATAGTTTGAATATTAGAAATGTCACTTTATGAAATGTGTCCAGAAATTGTCATCTTCTTTCCCCAAACCTGCTCAATCAAAAGCATCTCCATCAATCATCTACTCTAAGCCAGAGCTTGCCCTTACTTCCACTAAAACCAAACGAAACTCACTGCTGTTGAGTCAGTACTGACTCATACTGACCCTTCCTTGGGTTTCTGAGGTGCTATCTCTACTAGCTCTTATAAATTTTAGATCTCAATCATTTTAAAATTTCTGCCTGCCTTTTTATTCCATGTTTGTTCCAGACCTAACCACTGCACTTGACTCCTGAAAGGATGGCCTTTGTAGGGTGTGTAAGAACATGTGGTGGTGTCTTTTGGTTTTGGTTTCAGTTCAAAGGATGAAGCAGGTTAAGAGAAAGGAGATTAAAACCAAAGAAAGAGTATGGAGGCAAAACCTCAATTTGGAAGACTATTGTTAGGCAACATGCTCTAAATTATAGGACTTTGAGAAAGGGCACTCATTAGAAATAAGACAGAGACAGGAAGGGTATTCCTTCTGCTGTGGGAATTTTAACTTATAAATAATGTAGTCAGGTGAGAAAAGGGACCAGCGCAAAAACTTATCATTAGTACTCAAAACTGGGTAGGTATATTACTATCATTGGTAATATTTTCATTGTTGTTGTTATGTGCCGTCGAGTCACCCCCAACTCACAGCAACCCCTCCTTGGGTTTCCAAGGCAGTATCACTACAGAAGTAGATTACCCAACCTTCCTTCCGAGGATTGGCTGGTGGGTTTGAACCGCCAGCCTTCTGGTTAGCAGTCAAGTGCCTTAGGCACTACACTACCAGAGCTCCTAATATTTTCATTAGTATACTGAAAAATAGGAAGAGAATTAGGAATTCACACAAAGAATGGGAAGCCGTCATTAATTTCTACCACTAATCAAATATTTTAATTATAATTCACACTTTTCTATAATTTTATACTTGGTGTTTTTATGTATAGGGATCTCACTATATAGTAAGGTTCTTGGAGATGGGACCATATCTCATGGAATGATAAAATTGTATCAATTTCTGAATAAAGCAAAAGAGTGCTTGTGGTAGGCAGTTACTAGGAAATAAAACAATTAGTGAAGAGGAGTGATATTTCTATCAACCATCTATGTCACCCTAAAATACTTTTTAGTGCTGAGCATGAATCTGGACTTATCGCTTTCCAAAACAAGTGGAACCAGTTTCTCCTTTCACTAAGAATTCAAAGCAAGGCACACAGGATATCTCTTTGTTGACCAACGAAGAGAAGGGAATATATTTGTACATTTCTATCTGTGCATCCCCGTGTGTTAAGTTCCAGGCATGGGAATATAATTTTAATTGTTTATTTATTATTACTTATTTTCTAAAATAATTTATTATAAAGGCATGCTGATGAAAGTAAGAAAGGCAGAGTTTACAAGCTCTCAGGAAGTAAAATGTTTAACTTTCAGGAAATAAAATGTTTAACTTTCATCCTAATGCCAGCTTCCGAGAAATCACTGTTGTTATTGAAATAGTCTTTAATCTACATTATGCATTATTCTTTCTCATTCTAGTGCTGCTGACCACCCTGATTATCCATATTCTGAAGAATATTAACGAGGAGGCTTTTGTCACAATTTCTTGCAGAAGCCATGGATGCAGGAAACTTCTCAGATGCTGGTGATAAGACAGCACCTCTGATTAAACCTTTTCTGTTTAGCAACTCACTTTCAGCCAGAGTTGTGCCCATAGGTTAGCAAGGAAAGGCACTATATTCTTATCATTTTAGAGAAAGAATAGATTCTGTCTCCCTCCCCCCTCTCTCCGCCCCCCACGGCCAAAGATTCTTATCCATTCCAGTCTGTTACTTATATACTTTACTTCTTTGTCTTATTCAAGCCAAAACTAATTGGCCGAGAAGTTTGGAGGCAGTGGGGAAGGAGTAAAAACAATTTTATAGACATTCCTAGGATGTGATCAAGGGAGAAATTTTCAGCTTCCAGAAAACTAGTGACTGGCAAGTATTTATCAGTGATTGCTTAGCCCTTGAGGTCCAGGAAAATTAACTGCACATAGTGGGAAAGATGAGACACATATTGAAAGGATGACCAACAACACAAAAGTTCCCACTCAGCAGCACAAAGGATCAGAGCTCCAAGAAATTGGGAAAAAGAGATCTCTGTGGTAGGGTTAACCCGAAGGTGGGAGGGGAACCAGCTAGCTTGCATGATTACAATTTAGGTGTGAAGTTAAAACTCCTTTAGGGATAAGGGATTAGAGCACATTCTGTACTTGAGAAATGTTAGCAAATGGTCTTTTGATAATTATGTGATGCACATAAAAGACCCAGCAATCCCATTACTAGGTATATATCCTAAAGAAGTGAGAGCCAGGACAAGAATGCATATATGTACACCCCTGTTCATTGCAGCACTAGTTACAATAGCAAAAAAAGATGGAAACAACCTAGGTGCCCATCAGCAGAAGAATGGATAACCAAACTATGTTTCATACTCACAATGGAGTACTATGCAACACCAAAGAATAATGCAGAATCCACAAAACACCACGTAACATGCATGAACTTGGAGGACATTATGCTGAGTGAAATAAGTCAATCACAGAAGACCAAATATAGCATTAGTTCATTATTGTAAAACATCAAGGAAAGGTTTGTACATGGAAGAAAATTTTCTTTGTCGGTTACCAGGGGTAGAAGGGAAGGGGAGGGAACACTGAAAAAAAAAAAATGCATCAACTCATGTCACTTTAGTTTTGTTTCTGTCACTCTACATAAATTATATTTCAATAAAATGTATTTAAAAAAAAATACCTGCTCTCACATATCTAAGTTGGAAGAGACAGGAGAAAAAGGTGATTATAAAAAGATTTAGAAAAAAAATAAAAGTAACATGGTAACTATGTAATTTGCTAGATGGTGATAAGTCTATGGAGAAAAATAAAGTAGTTATGGTAAGAAGAGTAGGGAGTGTTATTTCAGAAGTGAAGGGGCAGGAGTATTTATGTAATAAATGCTTCTAAGGGGAAGCTTCATTGATACAGGGACATCTGAGCTAAGATCTATAGAAAACAGTGAGCCATTAAAGTATCTAAGGGAAGAGTGTCTGGGCAGAGGGGACAGCAAATGAAAAGCTCATAAGGAGGTAGAGTGCTTTTGTGTTCAAGGAACACCAAGGTTGCTTATAAAACTGGAATATAGTGGGAGGAGATGAGCTCAGAGGGAAAATGGAGTTCAGATTATAGCAGATCTTATACGAATTACTTTGCTTTGACTCAGTGTGAGCTTAGAAACCATTAGAGGAGTTTTATCTGATTTACTTTTTTAAAAGATCACTCTATATTTGCACTTTTTAATACATGAGACATTTACTACATATGGTATTTAAATTTAGATTAAATAAAAATCAGTAAAATTTAAAATTCAATTCCTCAATCACCTACTTCAATTGCTAAATAGCTGCTTGTTTCCTGGGGCTACCTTATTGGACTGTGTTTCTAGCATCTACCTGTGTTTTATTGACTATGCAAAGGTATTCAACTGTGCAGATCATAACAACTGATGGATAACATTTCAAAGAATAGGAGTTCCAGAACACTTATTTGTGCTCATGAGGAGCCTGTACATAGACCAAGAGGCTATCATTAGAACAAAAGAATACTATATGGTTTAAAATCAGGAAGGATTGTGTCTGGGTTGTATCCTTCCACCATACTTATTCAATCTGTATGCTTAGCAAATTATCTGAGAAGTCAGAGTATATGAAGAAAAATGCAGCATCAGGATTGGAGAAAGATTCATTAACAACCTGTGGTATGCAGATAATACAACCTTGCTTGCTGAAAGTGAAGATGACTTAAAAACTTACTGATGAAGATCAAGGACTACAGTCTTCAGTATGAATTGCACTTCAAAAGAAAACAAAAATCCTCACAACTGGACTAATAAACATCATCATGATAAATGGGGAAAACATTGAAGTTGTAGGGGATTTCATTTTACTTGGACCACAACTAACACCCATGGAAGCAGCAGTACAGAAATCAGATGTCACATTGCAAATCTGCTGCAAAAGACCTCTTTTAAAGTGTTAAGGAACCAAAGATGGAGGAATAGGCAGACAAGCAACACAGACCCTGTTCAACAAAGAAAAGAAAAACCAATTGACAGAGATACAGAGGATAATCTTGGAACTCTGAGCTTTGAAAGGAACTATACAGAAGTGGATTAGGCACAAATTAGTGGAAAAACCTGAACAAAAACAGTGAGTACAGAGAGGGTAAGAGCTGCAGACTGTCAGCTACTCCAATGGGACCAGGAGCCTGAATAGCTCCAAGTGGTGTTGGGACCTGAAAATTGACCTAAAAATGTCAGCCCTGGTCACCAAGGGCTGCAGGGACAACTATACTAGTGGCCTATAACTAGGAAGAGGAACAGCAAGGTGGGAGACAACCTGAGATGTTGAGTTTCTGCTGTCCAGAGGGCACTTTTTGAGTGTTTACACATGGCAGCCATTTTGGATATTTAAAGTGACCGAGGGCGCAGCCATTTTGAATCTTTGCAAGTGGCAACCATTTTGGATTTTAAAGTGATAGCATCCTCATTCGAATTCCAGGGACCTAGCTATAGGCTCTGTTTATCAAGGATGGCAGGGACATATGAGAGGTTGACAACAGAAAAGGAGATAGGTGGTGAGTGTACAAGTGCTGTCCACTAGTGAATAAAGGAGTACAGCACAGTACTCTGCCTGTATAGATAACATACAAACAAAACAAAATGAAAATTGTGGGCAAGTCATTTCAACATACAATCACCAATTAAATATAAACACAAAACCATCACAATGTCTCAGAGACAACGGAGCTTCACAGTCCACACAAAGAAGCAAAACAAAGCAGGAGAAACAAAGGAACAGGATACAGACCCAAAACACATACCTGAGGAAGAGGCAGCATTGGAACTCCCCAATAAGGAATTCAAAAGAATTATATTTAGGTACCTTCAATGAACGGAGAGACAGATCAAGGAAAACACTGACAAAATTGAGGAAGACACAGAAAACCCTACAACAATTTCAAAAGACAATACAAGAACAAAATGAAAAATTAGAAATGATACAAAATCTATACACAAATCTGGAAGATCAATACTAAATTTTCAGAAATAGATAACACATTGAATGGGCAAAGTAGAAATGATGCAATGGAAGACAGATTTAGTGAGATTGAAGGCAAATACTTAAATACTTCTTTGGAAAGGGAACAATCAGAAAAAAAGGTCAACACCAAAAAGACAAACAACCCAATTCAAAAATGGGAAAAAGACACTTCATTAAAGACAATATGCTAGTAGCCAACAAACACATGAGGAATTGCTCACAATCATTAGTCATTAGAGAGATGCAGATCAAAACAATGATGAGATATCATCTCACCCCAACAGTAACAGCAAAGTTCAACAGGACAGAAAATAACAAATGCTGGCGAGGTTGAGGACAGACTGGAACTCTTGTGCATTGCTGGTGGGATTGTAAAATGGTACAACCATTGTGGCATATGGTATGGCATTTCCTTAAAAAAACTGAAAATAGAAATATCATTTGACCCAGCAATTCCATTACTAGGAGTATATCCTAAAGAGTTGAGAGACAGCCCATGAACAAACATATGCACACCTATGTTCATTGTAGCACAACTCACTATACCAGAGAGATGGAAACAACCTAAATGCCCATCAATGGATGAATGGATAACCAAATTATGATATATTCACACAATGGAATCCCATGCTACATTAAAGAACAATAAGGGATACATGAACCATCTCACAATGTGGATGAGCCTGGAGGACATTATGCTGAATGAAATAAGTCAACTGCAGAAGGACAAATACTGTATGAGCCCATTACTGTAAAAAGACAAAGAAGGGTTTGCTTAAGAAAGGGAACTCACTTTATAGGTTACCAGGATGGGGAGAGATGGGAAGGGATTAATTTCAGGCTAGTTGGGGCCCACACACTGACGTGGGTAAGGGAAGGGATGTATAGAAAGAGTCTGTGACCACCTTAACATTAGGAAAAGGGAGGACACCAAATTGTCCACATAAGAGGTAGACGAAAGATGTGAATACCAACCAGTATATCCACAATACTACATTACCATTAACACCAAACACCAGGCTACAGATAAACACATAACATCTGAGAAGATCAGATGGGGGTCAGTGAACAGGATTATACTCTAAACCAAGGATAGATTCAGTGTAGGCTAATCTTATGCAGATATCAGTGATACAAAATACCTGCAGTCCTTACAGAAACAATAGAAGACAGACACAGAGTAATCCCTCACAGACAGCCAGACACTGTGGGAGAAGAGATCCAACCGATCTACCAACTCAGGACCATAGTACTAGGGGACACGAGACTCAATTGGCACAAAATACATAAAAGTCTTGTTCCTCATCCTATATTGGCCAGTAGCAACTGGGATCTTAAAAGCTTTCAAGTGGCCATCTAAGATGCAGCTAATGGTCTCCTATCTTCAGAAGTGAAGAAAAGTGGGAGGGGGGAAAAAAAAAAAAAAAAAGGTCATTTGGA